ACCAAACAAAACGTTAATGAAAACAGCATGCCTGACATCTTAACACAATGGTCTCTCTATTTTGATTTTACTTTTTGTTCATAACTCAATTGCCTTCAAGATTAATTATACTTATGAACCAAATAAAGTTCTCACCTTATGGTCAAAGCTTATTGTAAAATCAATCAGGATTAGCTTTAGATTTTCTTAAATGCAGCTATTATGGTCCTTGGTCCAATCTGGCTTTCTCAGTCAAAACATGCAGGGTATTTTGTTTTTGTTTTCTTGCAAGTGGTTCCATATACATCACAGTTCTTGTTTTCTACTTGTATTATTAAGCTGGGTTAGAGCCCAAAGTCCAAAACTCATAAGGTTGAAGGGAAATTGTATGAGTTGTTTTTTTGTTTGTTTGTTTGTTTTTATTCATACAGAACTGGGGTACAGGCCAGAGATGCGGAGGGTGAGAGAATTCACCAGGGACAGAGTGGGGAGCAGAACAGGCAGATCGACGAAGTGCACTGCTGAGGGGTGCAGCAGGAGGGTCAAGAGAGGTCTGCCATGCCACGTGGTCACCTCCTGGGCAGGCGGGGATCGAACTCATGCGGAAGTGGCTTAAGCTTCTTAGTGCAGTGCTTTAACCCGCTGCGCCACCAGGGAGGGCTATATGAGTTTTTTTTTTTAACTGTCTTTTTGTCAGATCCACAATAAACAATGAGACAGAGTGAACATAATATATGGAATTTCATACTCACTTCATACTCAATTCTCTGAATTTTTGGCCTCTACTAGCAGCTCCAAGATAGATTACAATTTAGCTACTTATGAAACAAGTACCAAATTCATTCTAAAAGGAAAAAGAAAAAAAGAACAACCCCATCCCAGACATCCCTCCATACCTCTGGGGTTTTTTTGGTTTGTTTTTTAAAGGGGTTGACATTTCCCATGAGGAAAACCAGCATTTGACTATTGGCCAACAGGCAACAGAGACTTTTTGTACTTCTCTATAGTGTGGGAGGATCATGCAAGTTAGAAAAAAGAAAGTCTATGGGAAAACCCCCCAGCAGGCCTGGGGATCCTAGAAACTGTCTGGAGATTGAGAACCCTAAAATATCTGACCAAATCATCTAACTTGTTCTAGGTTCCTACTAAACAGGGCTTCAGGAGCCAGTCGCTGAAGTAAAACTCATTAACTGTCTGCTTCTTAAATACGTAAGTACATTACTTTACCCCAAGTCTCACAGGAAGCTTGCACACAAGCTTAAATAGGACCAGAGTATGTCTCTATCAGATAAACGTTCAATCAGGATTAGCTTTGGATTTTCTTAAATGAGCTATTATGGTCCTAGGTCCAATCTGGTTTTCCCAGTCAAAAAACGCAGGGTGTTTTGTTTTTGTTTTCTTGCAAGTGGTTGCATATACACCACAAGTTCTTGTTTTCTACTTGTATCATTAAGCTGGGTTTAGAGCCCAAAGTCTACAACTCATCCATTTACATGAAAACCAAGACTTTTAATGAAAATTCAACCATGAACTTTCTTTTCTGTTACTTCAGTATGATATTCTGAATCCTCAACCATAAAGTTTTCATTAATTACCCAGTTGAGAAATGTATCCAAGTACATTTTCAATCTTTCTAACAAAAGCATTGTATCCTCTTCCTAGTTTTTCTTAAACAAGCACTTCAGACACTATTTATGGATTGTTGTTTTCGCCATTATTCACAGGGCAATGTTTTAGGTTTACTGTATCCCCTATGGCACAGAGACTTAATAGCTTTTAAAATAGCATCTGTTGACTGTAGTGATTATCAAAATGTACTACATGCTCATTGTTTAATGTTTGGAAAATGCAGAAAAAATGTAAAAGGGAAAATTAACAATGCCTATTACAATGAGAAAAAAAAAAAAAACTACCACATGGAGGCCCTCTGGCTCCTTTCTGATTTGGGTAGATCTTTTTTTTTTCTTAGAACATAGTGGAAAGCATGCTATGGTACATTTCTCTACCCTGTTGCCCCCATATTCAGTAAACACCTTTCTACACTTAGGATTCTCATAAATATTTGTCTAAATGTCTGTATGACACCATATCTTTTGCTACCATAATTTATTCTGTTCTTGTGTTGTTGGGCACTAAGATTATTGCTAATATTTGACCTTTCTAACCAAAGCCATATTAAGCTTTTTTTTCAACATTAACGTTTTTTAAAGATTGATTTATTTATGCATACAAAACTGGTGTACAGACCAGAGGTTCAGAGGTGATGAGATGATTCATCAGAGACAGAGTGGGGACAAGAACAGGCAAATCAACGAAGTACACTACTGAAGCGAGCAGCAGGCGAGACAGGTCTGCTGTGCCATGTGGCACACGTACAGGGTGGGAATCGAACCTGCACTGAGGCAGCTGTGGCCAGCTTGCAGTGTTGTGTCCTAACCCTTTGGGCCACCAGGGAGGGCCCCTCAACATTAACTTTTAAGCTATTTTTCACACATTTCTTTGGCTAGATTGAGATTGAGTTAGTGGGAAGAGGAGAAGAAGCATTAGTGAATCTTTTCAGACATTTGGTCAAGTTGCTTTTCAGAAAGGTTACTGAACCTTCACAGGTTCAGTGTCTGCTCCACCGTGCATTAACTGCTGTAGAGAATTACAATTTTTAAACAGCTATGCAAATTTAAGGCCTGGAAAACATGATACCTTGCTATTGTTTCAACATTCATTTTTTGATTAAAGGAAAGAAAATGCATTCATATGTCAATTAGTCATCTCATTTTCTCTTCCATAGTCTGTTCCTACCTTTTATCCATTTTTTGCCCAACACTAATGCAGTCTGTGTCAGTTTCCTAGTGCTATGTAACAAATATCCACCAACTGAACAGTTCAAAACAACATCTATTTATTATTATACAATTTTGAAGGCAAGAGTTCAGGTGGACCTGATTGGGTTCTCTGTTCAGGGTCACTCTCACAGGGTCAAAGTCAAAGTGAAAGCCAAGTGGTGCGATTATCTAAAGACTCTGGTAAAGAATCCAGTTTCAAGCTCACAGGTTGTTGGCAGAATCTAATTCCTTATGGCCCTAATTCTAAAGCTCCAAATTCGATGTTAGGTCACCCTCAACAATTCTAGGGCTCCTCATTCCTCAGGACTTCCCCTGATCTTTCTCAAGCATCCCCTCCATCTTCAAAATAGCAATGGTTTGCTGAGTCCTTCTCATCCTTGAAATAGCTCTTGATTTCCCCAGCCAGAGAAAGCTCTCCACTTTTAAGGGTAGCTGTGACTAGGTTAGGCCCACACCAATTATTTCCTCTTTTAAACTTAACTACACCAGACAGCATATCCAAGGGATGGATATGTTCACACATTCTAAGGATGAGGACAGCCATTTTAAGTGAAGAGGCACTTTTAGAAGTTTGGCTGTCACGTATTCTTAGGTGTTCTTTCTTATAATTTATTTGCACTCTTTATGATAGTAGGCCTTAATTACACGATTTGTGAAATAAATCTTAGTGACAGTTGCCAGAAGTTTCATTTTCACAATGTAAATGCAACTGTAAAAGGGACTGCTGTGTGCTAACATTTTTAATAGATAATGTTGCTAACAACAGCATTTTTTAAAAGTGGGGAATTATGGGGAAGTACAGAGAATACAAAATTTACCATGTTAGTAATTTTTAAGTGGCCTGTTCAGTACTATTAAGTACATTCACTTTGTGATCAATCAAATCTCTAGAACTCTTCATCTTGCAAAACTGAAATGCTATACTCACTCAAATTTATATATGTTTTACCATTCTCACCTCACCCCTCCTCAGCTCCTACTGAGCTGACACCCTACTGTCCTACTACTGGTATATTTTTGCTAACAAACATGCAGACAGCAGCTACTACTTGCACTGAATAAAGTATTGTTTATATATTAACTCAATCATCTTAATAACCTTATGAGATCACAACCATTATCATTCCCATTCTACAGATTAATTAAACTGCCTAAGGTTACACAATAAAACTCTGAACTGCCTTTGTAGTTCTTCTGATGACCCCATGAACTCATGAACTATTACATGGTGAAAAATTTACTGTAAAGACAAATTTATCAGGCATTCATATTACTTCTTTGATGTGCATGACTTAAAAATACTTTTTTTGTGCAACTTAGCTTAATATTCTTCTACTCCTAAAAGTTAGAATATGTAACCTTTAAGAGACTGCACAGTTAAGCTATTAGTAAAACAAAAATAGCCTTCCGTTTTATTTTGGGTGTCCCAATTATAACTTACTAGTGGTATTTTATAATAAAATGCATTATGTATGAGTGACTATAAATCACAATTCTTTGACTACTGAAAGTAAAACAGTAAAGAAAAAAAGTCAGGTGTTTATCTAAGAAAGGAAAATGAAAGAAGAAAATTTACAACAACATAGCTCAATTTGGTAAGTTCGAGTATGTTTTGCTTTCTGCAAACTCTACATGCAGACCAGTTTCACTGTCACTCACCTGCATGTCTCAGTAGCAACTGATTTCAGAAATGGATCTGAACTCTCCTTATCCTAATTTTTTTAGCTTAGTAATTCTCTAACAAACAACAAAATCATGCTTGTCATCACATAGTGTCACTTACTATACTTAAAAATAAATGGAGTCAACAGAAAGAACAATCACTCTGGGAACCCAAGCCTGATGTGAGTTAAAAGCTCTGCCGAGTTTTGGTTTCTAAGGCGGGAGGGGGTGGGGTAGGACAGCTAAAACAACGCAAAGATAGAATTGGCTATTTCAACTGCTTTCTACTTATGTACCTCATTCAAAAAAATAAGCTGACAATGCACCGTGTAACCTTCCCCTCACTCAACATCCCCTGCACGGTAGGGCAGTCTCCAGCATGAAATAAAAACCAGAGCGTGGAAGAAACAGCAAAATCACCGCTCCCCCCGGGAGCTTCTCTGATATTTACAACGCTGTCATCCCCGCACCCTTCCCCCACTGGCCGGCCAGGCAGCACAGAAGACGACAGACGCTTACCCGGCCGCCGGCTGCTCCTCTCCCTTCACCTGCGGGGCCTTCCGTTTACTCCTGGCCGGGGCTCGGCTTCGGCAGCCCGCCCGCCCCACGGTGACAGCCGGTCTCAGCCTGGCCGCCGACCATCCCCGCCGGGCTTTCTGTTTACAGGCGCATCTCGCGGTCCTGCACTTAAATGCTTCCCCACCAGCAGCCGGGGAAGCGAGAGCCGGACACACAAGGTTCCAGGCCTCGAGGACACGACGTTCCAGCGCGAGGCACCGCACAGAGGCCAGGTCAGGCCAGGCCAGACCGCACCCGCCAGGCCTCCTTACCTCATTGTTTCCTTACACCAGATTGTAACGCACGCATTCTGCAAATACTGACTTCTCATTGCTCCTCCCAGCGCCAGAATGGATGTTTGCAATTCAGAAATTTCGCTTGGATGGAATCCGTTTTGAGCAGTTCCCTTGCCCATGAAAATTACGCAGAGAAGTTCTTTCTGAAAATAGGACTACTGGATTCTGGAGATTGTGTCTCATTTCAGATTTGGAGCGGCACGAAATTCACTTTTCACTTCCTTTTCATGTTGCAGCCAGTCGGTGGAAGGGGGATGCTTGGATGCTTGGCTTGACGGTTTTCCACCCAAATTTGAATTTTCATCAAAAAAAAATAGAGGTGTGTGTGTGTCCATGTGTTCGCATGAGCACAGGAGGATGTTCCTTTGTGACACACCTCCCACCCTACCCCACAGTGATTTACCCACTTTGCAAGAGGGTGCTGCTCCAGCTACATGGACCTTCTGAAGTTACCCACTGTAGACTCTCTCCATAGTAGCTTCTTTTATAGCTATGTCCTCTATGTGTAATTACACATTTATGTATTTTACTGGCTTTGTCACGGTCTCTTCTACAAATTCCCTAAAGGCAGGGACTAGTTCAGTTTTACCATCACAGTGCCCAGTATATATATATATATAAGAATGAATGAATGAGTACAAGTACCCAAAAATTTCTCAAAGGAAGCCAAAAGAAGCAGTATGATGGGAATGGGAAAATGTAATACCCCCTTATTAAAAATATTAAAAAAATAATTTTTAGAAATACCTCCTTTGGTTGTTGTTCAGCATTTAATTCTTTTTAACCCTGCTATTTGAGGTACATTTCCTTTGAATACAATGTTCTCTTTTGCGTCAGATTTCCTCTGAGGAGCGCTCTCACCCCACTCCATCCCATGAGTCTAACGTCTTGTTCTTTAGGAATAGTTGATGTCATACTTCTCCTGGAAACAGAGGAAAAGCCTGTGCGTTTTATGCACACTCAGAGAAACTCATGTCTCTCTATACATTCACTCATCATATTGTGCTAAAAATCATCTATATAGTCATCAGTCTTTCCAGACCAGTGATTCTCAAAGTCCATTATGTAGCAGAATCTTTGAGAACAGTGTTTCTCAAGCTTGAAAGTGTAGGGATTTTGCAAAAATACAGATTCCGGTTCAGTAGTTCTGTGGAGAACACTCTACATATCTAACGAATAACCAAGAATTGCCACAGGGAAAAACCATCAGATGCTTGTTTAAAATGCAGTTTCACCCACAGGTTTTGATTCTGAAGCTCTATGACAGGACTCTGAATTCTGTGATTTTCACAAGTGCTTCAATGTGCTTCTAATATAAACAATCAATGAACTACTCTTTGAGAAAACCTAAGCCAGTCTGTGAAATCTGAGGGCAGGGTTCCTGCCTTGTCATTATTTTTACACTATGCATTAAGTATGGGCTGTAGCACATAAAATTCGTTCAAGAGCCACATTTACAGAATGACTAAATTGACTCACTAGCACTAATACAAAGGGATGAACCCAGGAGAGAGATGACAAGTCCAAGCTGAGAAATCTCAGCAGGCAGCTGCTGACTCATGGGCCTCATTTAGGCGGCAGGGGACATTTTGTTACATAAATTTAATATATTTAGGTTCATGTCTCCCTTTAAAAAGCTATCTGCGGCCCTCCCTGGTGGCGCAGCGGGTTAAAGCACAGCACTGAGAAGATAAAGCCACTTTCGCATGAGTTCGATTCCCACCTGCCCCGAGGTGACCTCATGGCGTGGCAGACCTCTCCTGACCCGCCCGCTGCTCCCCTCAGCAGTGTGCTTCGTCGATCTGCCTGTTCTGCTCCCCACTCTGTCTCTGGTGAAGCCTCTCACCGCCCCTGAGCCTCTAGCCTGTACCCCGGTTCTGTATGCACAAAATAAATAAATCTTTAAAAAAAAATTAAAAAAAAAAAAGCTATCTGCTACTAGCAGCCCTACCACCTTTTTAAAAATAGACTTTTTTAGAACAGTTTTCAGTTCATAGAAAAATTGAGCAGAAAGTACAGAGAATTCTCACATACCTGCTGCTCCCACACACACAACGTCCCCGCTGTCAACATCCTGCACCGGTGGGACATGTGTTATAGTCTATGAACTGCACTGACACATCATTATCAGCCAAAATCTAGAGTTTACTTCAGCGCTGCCATCTTTTCAAACTTTTTATATGCTGATATTCAAAAAGGCCTATCTTTAAATAGTTAGAGTTATTTGAACATGAAGTGGAAAGAAACTTAGGAGGTGATCTGGACCAACCATTATCCACAACTGTTTCCTTACTTTAAAGCTTTTAATTGCCTGGATTGTCAGAAAGAGTTCAGACTTCCTAACTTGATACTCGAGGCACTAGCACATTGGCCTCATCCCAGATAGCTCACACAGAGTTGCGCACCTCTCTATGTTTCACTCTGTCATGGTTCTTACTTCCTTTGGGGAACTGTCCCTGCTTCTAAGTCACCGGGCAGGCATGTGACTCAGCCAAAGTCCTCCCCTGAAAATGTTGTATGTGAAGCAATGGGAGAGAGGTGGGGGCTTTCCTAATGGGTCACGGGACTAAAAGGATGTGAACTGTCCGTCTTGAGGGCCATCTTCCCTACCAATTGGAAAATACCTTTCTGCAGAAGTAGGCAATAAGTAGCAGTGGAGAGTCAACACCAAGAGGTAGAGGAGATTTTGTGTAAGGAAAGCAGGAAGTGTGGGGGGTGGGGGAGGAGTAATTGCTGATGACTGTTTTCAGTCTCAAAATTTCTTCTGCTCTGAAGTTAACCCACCTGGTAGACTTAGAGTTTTATTATCAGTAAGTTTCTGCTGACTTAAGGAAGTTTGGCATTTACAACTGAGAACCTCTTGACTAATATGCCATCTTTCCAGAATTGTCCCCTGCACAGTCCTTTCCTCCCAATACTCCAGACTCACATTTTTAAAACCACTTCTGGATCCTCTTCCTTCCCCATTACCCTGCCTTAGGATGCCTCCATCTCCAGAAGGGTAGCCTTGTCTTATCTTTGCATTTTACATGGTCACGAGTAAGTCATCTCAATAAATATTTGCAAAAACAAAAGGAAATGCCAAATGACATACAAGGAGATTTTATTATTCTAACACTTCATTACATAGTTTCCTTTTAGCCTTCATTTACTAAATTAACGGTCAGACCAGGTTTCAATAAAACAATAGTGTCTTTCAAGAAATGAGACAATAGTCTCATTTAAAATTTGTGTAAGCTTAGTAAAAAATGTAGTACTACTTTAGCTTAAGAATTGCAAGCCAAAAATATCTCATTACATCCTTCCAAATATATGCCCAAGTAAGTTGACTAGGATATTCAATGAGAGCATAAAATGTGATTAGTTTGTCAACTTGGGTAAATTAAAAGCATTTGAGGTGCTGAATATTAAAGATATAAATGGAGCCACTTGTTGAAAGTGTAAGCAAGAATTCTATTTATCTGGTCAGCACCCACATAACTAAATCCATTGTTAAAATATTAAAACAATTCTGTACAAGTTGGTAATGAGCATCTGTCCCTAAGTTTCCTAAGTGCCCAAGTCCCTTTCCAAGGAGTTCTCTCCCTACCCATCCTAAGATCTAACACCCAGATGTTAATACCTCATATTATTTTGCTAGCATGGGTAACGATAGGACCTTAAGTTTTGCATCAGGCCCAGGATTCTTTCTGGTTAGTTATGCTCAGACCATACACATTCTTAAATCTTTTGACTATCAACCTACAAATGGGTTAAAAAAAAAAAAGAGTGGAAAGTCATCAGCAAAAACAAAATAGTCTATTATTCCCTACCCTCCTATCTTATACTGCAAGTATTAGAGTTTTAAAGAAAAACATATTTCATTGGGCATCTTAAATGGCGTTCATTCTGGTCATTTAATAAGCATGTACAATTGGAAGTTAAAGTCCTCTAGGTAAGGGGTTCCCGTGTTGTATATAATGGCTATTACTAACCAAGAAGTATATTGCAAGCTTACTTTCAAGAGAATGGTCCACAGAGCTAATGCCTGTAAAAGGAAGATTCTCAATCTTGATGTGGGACACAACCTTTTTTTTATATATGATATTTTCTCAATTTTCATCAGGGAGCAACCCTACCATTCCTGCTAAAATGCCCATTCAGTCTGCAGAGTGTAAACCTTTTATGGCATTGAGAGTTGTTGGAAGTTGAGACCTCTGGAAAGGAGGGCAGGGTTTGAGAGTTCGGCGTGCAGGAGTGTCCTCTCCCTCAACACAAGTATGTGGGAGGAAGTGGAAGCCTAACAACAGACAGCTCTGAGCCCCAGCAACAACTTCAGCTAGCCCTAAGACTTCTGTGATAGTCCCATCCTTCAGGGACTACAGAGGAATCCTGTGTTAGATAACAGTGGTCTGTTGGTGAACTCTCTGAAAAAAACAGAAGTCCAAATTCGGTGTGTTTGCCATTGTCATTGAGCATGGAGTTGGAGATGTTCACATCAGCAGTGGCTACTTCTGCACAGTTCTGGAAGACCAGGCCTTTGTTCTCCCATGCCCATTAGCCAAGGACTTCGGGCATCTCTGAGAAGGGCATGGCCTTGGGCAAAGCAGCTTTGTGCAGATACGCCCCTCAAGGGGCCCAATCACTTAAGCAACTACTGACTGTACCCCAGGACCTAGGCCAACATATAGATTTGGATAGCTCATTACAGAATCTACCATCCTTGTTCTGGAAAACGAGTTATCTGCCCACTCAGCTGTCAGTCAAGAATCTAAGTCATGAATAATCATTCAA